TGTCTTCTCACAAGTTACATATACATAGTAATTAATATGCATATAATTATATCAACCTCAGCTGGCCACTGACTTGGCTGTACTGGAGGTGGGCCAGTAGCTGTGCTATGCAGAACGCACAGCACAGGATGGTAGCTCCAGTGCAGAGACACACACACCAACTGCAGCCCATTTCCTGAGCTCAGAAATAAGCAAACAAGCCAAGCGAGCAACGTGGGCTGCCAGCTATTCTTAAATACGGGCTGCCCTGAGGAAAGGAAACATTCTGGATACAGATCGACTGCTTATTTGCACATGTACTTCCTCTTGAAGAACTTGTAACTTGTAATTTGTTTTCAGAGAAGGTGACCTCCTGCTACAAGAAGCTACATGTTGCTGTTAGTGACAAGGTTCTTCTTTCTCTAATTGTGGTAAACGGCAACAATGTTAGCAGGAGAAGAATGCAACGCCATCTATACAGACAGGAGAGCTAAACTGCAAACAGCCTCCAGGCTGGGGCCTGACATAGGTAAGCACCTCACGCAAGCGTTCACACGCTTGTCAAGCACAGCACAGCACAGCACAGGGCTCTTCAGCTCCCACTACATTATGCCTTAACTTTGCTCCACTTAAATGGAAATTGCTTGGTCCACGTTACACTGGAAAGCACTGGAGGCTGTCACACTTCCAAAAGGATGTGAAGATTTGCTCCAGGGATGCACAGAATGCTGGACATGCCATGACACATTACTGTGACAGAAGGATGGGGCAGTTCTGTGAACATTATGCTTATTCTCAATATGAAAGTAATCAGAAACTTTCAATGAGCAAGAAGTCAAGAGCAACACTTTCCAGTAAGGTCAGAAATGGAACTGACACACGATTTGCTAGCAGCTGGACTGCTGGGAGCACAGAGAGGCACCTCAGTCACCACAAAGCCCCGGCATTTCATGGCATGGCACTGACTTTAAGGATGAGACTGCATTCAAGATACCAACAAGCGATGCCTGCAGACATTAAATGACAATTGTTAAGTACTGGTTGTTGGTAGCTTGTACGCAACAGCCTTTCCCAGGAAGCAGATTCCCACCCTCCTCACACGCAGGCACTTCAAGCTGCCCTCACACTGCCTGCAGCTGAGCAACCCAGTGGGAAGAACATGCCCACAGCTCACTGCAGCTTATGGAAATGAAGACGACCTGTCTATCTGCACAGGGAAAATAAACACTACTTATTCGAAACACAAGAATTTATCAGAACTCTTCCTTTTTCAGCTACTATCCAGCCTGCCCAACGGGCAGTGGTAGTCTAGACCCATCCTCTGCCATAAGTGGATGACAGAAATCAGAGTGACTGTATCGTCTGTGCCAACAACATATAAAAAACAAATACACAGAAGGAAAAATCCTCTTTGGATGTATGTTTCATCACTTGACTGGTTTTCATTATCTTGAGCACAGGCCACAAAGAAAGAAGCTCCCAGAGCATCCAAAAGCAAGGCAGATCTGTCAATACTTGCTCAGAGTGAGATTTAATCACTTTCACTTCAATTTTATGCACATCTGTTAACTCTTCCAAGCTTAAAGAGGAGAGATTTACAGTGCAAAAGATGAATTTTATTGCAGCCTACGGGCATCTCAGGCTCTTAAAGATATGAAACATTGTCTTAGTACTTCCAGCACTGAGCAAGAGCTGACACTGTGATGGCTACAAGCTTGGATCTGCTCTGATTTCCTTTGCAGTCGTTGTGGCAGATCATGCTTACTTCTCTTTTTACACTTTCTTAATTCTCGCCTGGAAACCAGTACCATCCATGCCAGGTAAAGCAGCAGCTGGTGATTAAGCTCCACTTCTGGCTCATCTGACACAGAAGTGGACACGTGTGGTCCCTCCCATGGCTCTGTGCTGAAAAGCAGAGCTGTGCACATGCTGCCTTTAGCCGGGCAACACATGAGCAGGAATTGAGAGCAACAGCCCTGAATACTTTCACACGCTCACCACAAACCTGACAGAACCTAAATTTAATAGCTAAATGAACATAAATCGTTACACCACGTTTTCACATTGCTCCCGTTCTGTTCATTGGCAACGTATCCATAACAGGTACCACCATTCCACAGTAAATTCCTGTGCTCAGTGCCTGTGTTGGTGGGCTGCTGTTTGTCTCTGAACTGCAGCCCGAACTGCCTGACTTTTACACAGATTATTCAGAACCTCATGTTTTAATAATGGGATACGAATATATTAAATTACAAATACAACATGAGTTAAAAGAGTGTTGCTCCATAATTGCTTTACAGCCTTCTCTTCCCATACATTGTATCGTGTTTAGCTGTCACACGTCCTTGTCACTCTCAGCAAAGCAGCAACAATTAGCAGTTCAGCACTGAGCACAGCCATAAATATCAGTGCTGTTGGAGTCGCTGAGAGGTTTGTCAGCAGATCAAGAAATACAACAGGGAGTGAGAAGCTGCTAAAGAGATTGCTTCTTTTTCCCCAGTCACTAACTTACCTGGTACCTAAAGGCCTGATGGCAGCCTGCTGACAAGTGCAAAGGTGAGAAGGGCTGACTGTGCTGCCCAGCAAGGAGATAACCCCATGCCACACGGCACTGCCACCCCCCGGCCCTCCAGCTCCTGACAGGAGACCCCCACCCAGCCCTGACATACCTGGCAGGCCAGTGAGAAGACAGAGTCCTGCTTGGATAACAAATACCATGGGAATGGGTTCTTTCTGTCTGTGTGACTTTATCAGCCACCTGTCCTCCAGGAAAGCTCCTGAAGCATGGTGGAGAAGTGCTTCTGTTAAATATGGGCAAAACATCATAGTCTGCAAAGCACTCAGCTGAGCATTTGAATAACTTTTAGTTCTACTTAAAAGCCTTGCTGAATTGCAGTACACTTGACAGCAGCACACTAAGAAGAATGCAAGGTTTTATTTATTTTCTAATATATGCAGGATATATATCTATTCTGATGAGCACGGCCCTCCAGATTCTGCACATTATGCAGAACTCCCAGCAAGGGCTGCTTGCAGAGTAAATGCACTTTGGAAATTAATAGAAGAACAATTATGTAATAGAACTGTATAGATTTATACAGTCATCATGTATTTCTTTAGCTGCTCTTGTGACACGCTGTGCATTACAGCATGTATTACTAATATACAGCTTGTAATCTCCATGAGATGCTGTAAAAATCAAAACCAGAACGAAAGTGGGTGGTGTCAATTATATTTTAAGTTTGCCTTTACTTTTTTTTTGGTTGGTTTTCTTTTCTAAATTCCTTAGTAAGATTTTATCCCTCTGCTTTGCTTTCGGGAGCTGGTTTTCTTCCTTCTTTTGGCCAGAAATGGGAGGGATGCCACCATGAAGTTCTGCAAGCAACCAGGGCAGGATCTGCCCCTGCAAGATCCAGAATCCCCAGAAACTCCACTTCATCCCCATCTCTTTGGGATAAATGCAAACTTCCAGTACAAGATCACTTCAGTTCTGTTGGATATCATTCATTGGGAACGCTGCTGATTTCATACAGCGCTCATGCCGCTGCCTCACCCTCTTGTAATTTAAGCTAAGGAACTCTTAGGAAACATGAGGCCAGACATCAACGAAGGATGTGCTGCGTATGACAGCAGCAGTAAAAATACATGGAGTGGCAGCCAGAGAGAGAGGCCTGGGGCTGGCCGATCTTCCAGAAGAGCAGGCGTCTCTGAACAGTGTAATTAGTTCATTAAATGCCATCAGAGAGGATGGAGGGACGGATGATGGCCGCAGGATGCTGAGATGAGGGCCTGCAGGTGCTGCCCGGCTTCCTGTTTCACTTCCACCAGCTCCAAACCCAAGTGTGTTTTTCAAGTGCGACAATCGGTACATTCTGTGTGAATCATTATCAGAGGCACAAGACCCTACGCTGTCACTGCAAATAGGATCAAATTAAGCAGCCGCAGACACGGAGCACAAAGCTGAGAAGGAGCTGAAATGGCAGAAATGGAAATGGAGCCAAGTTGCTTAGCAACCGTCCCCTCTTCCCCTGGATTGTGTGGGCCCTGAGACACCCGCACTGCCAGCAGCTGTTGCTTGTAAGGTGAAGGAGAGCCCATGTTGCCGTGTGCCAGGCAGTGCCGCGCCGACCAGCAACGTGTGCCACGCACGGCAGGGCCTGCTCAGCACAGCCAGGCGGCTGCAATGCCACGGCCGTTTGCTTTCCTAAAAGCGGGGCAGCTCACCTGGCCAGGATGGTCTTCTCCAGAGAAAAGTCACTGGGAATGTGGCACAAGGAAGGCTCTTCATCTGCACCAATTCCTTCTCCAGCACCAAACCGAAACCCTCACTCGCACTGCAGTGATGCTCCAGAAACCTCAGGCTGGGCATGCAGGGCCATTTCTGAAGGAACACACCAGAGTTTGCATCTCTCTGTTCCCATCTATGAGCGAAAGGGTTCCATTTAGGAGGTCATCAGATTGTTGGAGAGGCTGCATTTTCTTCATTTACTTTGCTAATGAATAGCTTCCTGGATGGATGCGGTTTTGGAGGCATTCATCTCAGACTCTTCTGTAGAGATAACGCTAAAATCCACTTGTGTGCTGAAGTGATGCTTGCCTTGCAGCCCAAGTGGCCAGCATGGAGTGCAGCACTGGGGAGGTGCTCAGCTGGAGGGCAGCCCTGAGAGGACGCTTCTGCCTGGGCTCTGGTCCTCTCTTAAGAATTCAGAGTTTTGTTCAATGCTAATCTCTTCTCAAGTTTTATTCATTTGATTGGAAGCGCTGCAGGGTGCCAGGAGATAATGGCAATAAATAGTAAATAACAAATTTTACTAGGTGTTAGGAAAAGCTTTAAAGTCTGCCACAGGTAATTTGAATATTTCCATCAGGTGTTCTTTGAAAGATGAGTTTTGCTAACAAACACTTTCCGGTGCCATTATGGTATTCGATTTGGCTTTGCTGAGGTTCATTAGGTTGGAAGATGCATGCAAAACAAGGCTGGAAAAACTTCCCTCCTCAGCCCTGCCTGCACACTGCAGAGGAGGCAGGGCTGCCTGCAGCAGGTTGGCATGCAGAGGAGGTGTTCCTGCTGCTTCACATACAAAGTGTTATCTGTGAGACTCCTGCTAGCAGGGAGAGAGAAAACACATTTATGTAGCCGGGAAGATGAAAGTCTTGCCTTTTTCTCATATATCCATATAAAGCAAACAGCTTGTGAAAGAAAACCAACCCAAACCCACATGCACAAAAACTGTGTAAAAACATGCAATAAAGTTTCTGAAACAAACTTCTTTAAATTAATTATGAGTAGCTGATAGGTGACAATAACAAAGCTACTGCTCCTGAAGCCACTCACTGCGTCCTTCAGGACGTTGAAGATCACCACGTGGGTACCTGCAGACACATTTGCTCCAGGCACTCCACCAACGTGCCAGGGTTGGTCTGAGTGCTTTGAGGAGAACCCAGCTGGTGAGGAATATAAGAGTGAGATCACCGTCTCTTGGGAAGCAAAAGTAAGCAGCCTTTTAAGTAGCCCACGGTTGAAATTCATTCACCTGTTGCTGCTAGGAACACATGCGAGCATGGAATTCAGTGCTGAGAGCTCACCTGATGGCATGGGAAGTGGTGAAGAAAATCCTAATGCTGCCTGAAATCACTACAAGTCAGATTGGACAACGTCAACGAATTTTACCTTGTGTAGCCATGTACTAACGAGGGGTCACAAAAACACCAAATGCTTCAAAAGCAACCAACAGCAAAGCCACCAAACAAGCCTCCCCCACAGTAATTCAGAAGGACAAGGCCAGCTTCTCTTCTGGCTCAGCTCTGCAGCTCCAGCAGGATGCTGCAAGCCAGACGTCCAGCCAGCCCACCCAGCTGCATCACCACTGCCACCCCAGTCTCACTTCCAATCTGCAGAATGGTGGTAATGTTTATAAGCTCCTACGTCCAAAGGAAATCACAAGGTGAATGCTAATGCCCAGGAATAATGAATAAGTGATTAATGTCAGCAGAGCACAATCAGAAGAATAGCCTAAGCAGTCTTGCACTTCTGAGCTGTTTTACATACATTTGATAAAGTGGATTCACCTGGTTCACCTCCGCTGCTTTCAGAATGCAATTAATAACGAAACAATTACTTCCAATTATTAGAATAATTACACTTATGCATATGCATACAAACGTAACGTACACAGCAGGGTTGGCTCAATGCTGCGTGCATATTTCTATATGAAGAACGTTCACACGTTCCTGTTTACACAAATTTATTCCACACCTAAACGTGTCGCATTCTAACCAGGGCTACATGCTTCCTTCAAGGCTTTTTTCTTATTAGTCCTTTCAGCAGTGGTTATTTACCCTGTGTATTATACAGCCCCCAGGCAAACTCAGGCTGCACGGCTGGCGGAGTGGATTATATAGCTGCACTTCAAGTGAGCCCTGTGCCCAGGGGACTGGCAAAATATCGTAGCGCGTAGTGCCAGGGCCATAAGTAACAATTACAAATATCCACTATAATGGATTCTTTTAACTAGGATTGCTTTGAAGTTCCCAGAAGGATTTAATAGGAAGAAAAGTACGACCTTGCCAGTTCCCCAGAGCACACTGGGATTTGAAGAGGGGTTTTCTTTAAGCAGAAGTCCATTTAGCCTATAAGGATTTCAAGTACTAACTGCTACCAGAGGTGTAGAGTTTCAGTTCATCTTTTTTTCTTTTTTTTTGGTGAGAATAGAAAATGTATCTGATAGGAAGAATAATAACGACAGCTCTTGGGTGAGACAATGGCATAGCAAGAGGAAATCAGCTCAGGCCAAAGTGGAAACGAACCTGGTATTTTTATAGCCTAAGATGGCTTGTAAGAGTTTGAGTAGATAAAATATGTTTGCATTGTTGTTCTGCAGATGTATTAGACTGAGACCAATGGGCTCTTGAATTTTTTTCTTGATAGGGACATGAAAATTCTAAGCTCAGCCAACGTAGAGAAAGCAGCTGTATTAGATGGATGCTTGCCACACAGTACAGAGCTGGAAAATTCTGAATCATCCCCATTAATTTCGGTGAAGAAGGCTTTACCGAGCGAATCCCAGAAAGGATGAGGTGCTTTTCACACTGATCACTCCAAAACCCACAAAATGATGTAAGGATAGTTTGCTAAGTCAGTACGCACCATTGCTCTTGGCACTCTCCTCTTGAGCAAAAGCAAAGATTGAATCACGTACCTGAAAGTCAGGCACATTTTCATACGGTGCATCGGGTAAATGATGAAACGTCTCTCGCACGCTGACTTTGAAGTCACAGCTCCCCAGCACAAGGGGAAAGTACTACGAGGGGACGCGCTTGGTAGTTTTGTCTAATGATGAAGGGCAGCCCTTACTCTTCCCTAACTTTGCCCTCTGGACAGCAAATGCAAACTGTGCAAAGACGAGCAAGGAAAAAAACCCAACAGAACGTGGCACAGACCATACACAGCTCATTTTTATGACGGCTTAATGGTGAACTCCACTCTCAAGTTCCACCTCTACAGGCCAGTGCAGCGCTGCGCTCTGTGGCTGAAATCCTGCTCATGCAGAGTTATGGGGAAAGCACCTGCTGGTTCCAGCAAAGTCAGGGTTGCTCACAAGAGAAGTTTACAATACAGTATAAAGTTATTGCCTTCTGACAGGGTTTCTATAGCATCTTTCCACCTGGACAAAGGGAGAATTTCTGTGTTTCTCATGCTGTTCTGTATCAAACCCACAGCCATCCTCCCTGCAGCCAAACCCCCAGCAGCACTGCAGGACAGCTGTCCTTCCTGCTCCAGATGCTGCTGAGGAGCACAAAGTGCAATGCCCTGATGGGAGATGTGCATACAGCACCAGTAAAGCTGAGTGTTACAGGAAATTCACTCCTCTGAAGAATATTATAAAGACACGTACCTGTATTAATTCTGATCAGATCTAAAAATAGGCTATAAATGGAAGATGAGAGACAAACTCCCCCTTTGCAACGGTAAGAGAATATAATCATTTATGAATATTTACCAATGGAAGAGATAGTTCTATGGAAACACACAAAAGCATGTCATTTATTTCTCTGCTTCTGAACTGCTTATGCTGATAACTCTGTCAGAGTCAATAAACTCCTTTTGTTGAGCTGGAAAGATGATCTAAACTACCTGCAGTGACAGACACTGCTTTCAGCCTCCTCAGGACTGTGCTAAAAGATAATTTTTATCAGCCACACCTTCGACTACTTTGCAAGATATTATTAAGGCAGATGCCTTCAGAGACAGACTCAGAGGCTGCTGTCAATGTTAATTTTCCCATCTGAGCTGTTAGAGGAAAACATGACTTTGTGTCAAAGAACAGAGCCCGACAAATAACATTTACAGCTTGAGAAAGCATCATGTTTTTGCCAGAAAGATGCCTGTAAGACTGAGATTTTGAGTCAGGTAATAACATTGCAATAAAAGAGGATTAGTTTTATCCTCCTAAATAAAAGCACAAACCAACAAAATATTGTACCACCGAAGAGCATCAATCTTGAGCATGTTTGGCAGCACCTGTCTCCTATCTCCTACTTGTTCAGCTTTGCAGATAAAAACTTCTGGGTCAGGTGAGGTTTGAAAGCATCTGCAATACTGGGCTCTGGGATCAAAGAATAAACAGCAGAAAGCCTTATCAACGTTTCCAGCAAATGAAAGATTGCAGAGAGGCTTTAAGAAGACCTTGCAGGAAGAGCAGTCACGACTCGCTGGAGCATCAATGCTCTTAAGAGGGGAGATGCAGCAAAGGGATGGGGTCAGGGAGCAGCACCCCCGACCTGTGCAGATAGGGCAGAGCTGCTCCCAGGCAGCGCTCACTGCCTGAACCTTCCTACCACCACATTCCCAGCACTGCTCTGCTGGCAGCACTGCCCCAGCACAGAGCAAACAGGAGCTTAGGAAACGGACTTGCAAATCTTCATGAGACGGTGGCAGGGAAGCAACAAAACTGATTTGCATCACTCTTTAATTGGACAGTACAGAAAATACACTAATTTCAGCTACAAGTGAAATGCTTCTGTTTGAATGCTGTTGACTAGAAAGATAATGAATAGTAGCAAATTATTTTCACCTGCTTAAAACAAAGCAATTAATAGTACTTTGGTTATCTCACCTGGAAAGCCAGGCTCTGCTGAGAGCTGTTAAAGCCGAATGTGAAAACAGTTTGCATGAAACATAATTAAAACTATGACCTGAGTGATCCTCTAAAATGTCTCAAAGGAGCCCTGAGTCGGTGCTGCAAGAAATGATTCCTCTCTGCCGCCTTTCTTCCTGATGCTGTTCCAGCTGGTTCCTACACAGACCATTCTGTCCTGCCCAGAAGAAACATTTCTGGCGCTCTTGCCTAGGAAGCACCATTTTCCAGTCAGTCCCCATCCTGGAAACCTCAGCACTTCTCCACGCTAACCATTTTCTCTCTTACTGTCACAGTCAGTAAATACAGCTCTACACGTGCAGCAACTCGGATTCGTTCAACGATCAAACTGCTGAAAATACTTTCGTAATTAATCACTGTACTTAATAAAGATCAAGCAAATCAGAATGCTGCGCAGTTGCTAAACAAGAGGAACGTAGGATTGAACAACATGCACTTATTTTTCCTAAAGAAACCTGTAGCCAATAATGGGTTTCACACTGAGTCAAAGTACAACAGTGTTTACTCTTTACAAAGGACTCCATTACCTGCTCTAACCTTCCCAGCTCTCCTCCTGCCTTCCTGTGCCCTATCCCCCACGCAGCCTTCACCACAGCAGACGTGTCCTTCTGCAGGCAGACGGAAGCCTTGCAGGGCCCTGGGTTCAAACAAAGCAATCCATTTCCACTGTACAGCTCAGGCGCTCAGGGAGTCAAAACCCAATCCAAGATCTGGAAATGCAAACTGCTTTTCTGACAGAAAAATGAAAATAAGGTGACACCCGATGAGAAAAGTTGCGGCGAGTTTGGATTTTGACTCAAGTCAATCTCATCAATGAGCTGCCCATCATGCGCGTTCCTCAGCAAACACAGCCCTGCCTGATGGACATGGCAAGGAAAGCAGGCAGTGGATCAAGACAGACCAACTGAGGCACTCCTACACATGGAGAAAAACACAACACAGCA